GTAAATATGTATTTTGCTAAATTTTGCCATATATCGTCGACTATCTCATTTTCTACAACTCACAAATAAAAAAACAAAGTTTCTCAGAAAATAAGTTTGAATATTTTGAACCATAAAAAAATTGTAATATTCATTTTAAAATGCAATTTAATGTAATTAATTATAGAAGAAAAAATGTGTTCTCTTCGAAATTATACTTTTTTTTTATTTTATGTCTCCGTTTTTTTACAAAGAACATAGAAATGGTAGTTTTATGTCGTTGTGTATCAAACAGGCGATATATGTATAACAAACCATATAAAATTACACAAAAACAAGATCTGCCTAAAAAAGACATCTTGGCAAGGAATTTTTTCCTTTGTTAATAAATTACTAAGATAAATAGTCTATTATCAGTCATTAATTTCTTTCATCTTCCAAAAAACGCTGACGCGATAATTCGAGCTTATATCGTTAAATACGATTAACAGCCTGATTGTAATATCCATAATGCGTTGTCTGAAGCGAAATACGACGAGCTGTCTAAAAGACGGCGATGAAAGTAGAACCCCTAGGTAGCTGATAAACAGAGGGGGATCGCCGGAGAAAATAGTTGCCCGTGGTATAGGAGCGTCTAATCCCGGATGAGAGAGACACAACGGCGGATGTGCGACGGCGATGACGAGGAGGTGGAAGCGGGAGGCGGCGCAGACACATCTCTCGGATTACGTCTTAACAAGCTCCACGACGTTCATTTGTCTTATCCGCTGCCGCTAATGCGACGCAGCACAGCTGTTGAAATGATTAATTCGGCGCGAGGACGTCCTCGTTCCTTTCCGCTCTGCTCCGCTCCGCTTAGCTCAGCTCCGCTCCGATCCATTCTGCCGCCCATGTTGCACCGCCCGCGAGAATCCGGCGTTCGATTTTGTCGAAGACGTGTCGCGGTTAATCAGCGCATTGCGGTTAATTACCGTTGCTGCGAAATACAAAGCCTGAACGAATAGCGTCTCGTTCGGCACGTGTAAACATAATTCGGAGGGTGAGAAAGAAGGAGAGAGAGGAACAGAGGCTGAAGACCTTAATAGAGTTTAAATCCTGGAAACGCGGCTCTGTCGTGTATAAAATCTTCTCGATGCGATAATCTACGTTAGAAAGTGTCGATGAAGAATTGTTCCTATATTCATTATATTATTATTACACAGTCTGCAAATACCAAAGTGATTAAGAAAAAATACAAACAAGGAACTTGATGAAAAGAGAGAGAGGGAGAGAGACAGAATGGCAGGAAGGGTAATTAGAATAGGATAAGATAAATAGATAAATGATAGAAAAAAAAGCGATAATGTATATATAAAAAGAATTGTATGTACTGGATATTATGGCTGTGATGATATATTTAAGACATCGATACATGTATAAGATATAGAAATGCGATAAACAATTTTAAGTCGAAGAGGATGTGAGAGAGGCATGGATGGATGAATGAGGCAGGGACGATGTTTGTAAACCAAATACGCGTTAATCGATGAAACGCTCAGTTAAAAAACGAAGACATTCTGGCATGTGTGTCTTGAAAATATGAAAGCACATAGGAAAACGCAGTTCAAAAGGCAAATCAACATTTTATTTGTTTACTTCGTTAATTACCTTACATTTACGACTGTGATTGGCCGATTCGCTTACTGTTTACGTCTTACCGATTATTTTTGTTATATGCCACTAGCTTAATCGATTGAATTTCAATCTTAAACGTCGCAATGTTCGATAGCAATCGCATAAACGTAAATGGATTCAAGAGTGTATCCCACCGCACGATCGCTCGTCGTTCGTGGGAGAAACCCTACGTTTACACCACGTTCGCACTCTGTCCAAACAGCCAGACAGAGACGCGAGCGCGCGATCTGATTGAATTAATTTTCAATTTGTGAGGGCCACCTGTCGCCGACAACGGCGACGAGTGACGACGTGCTGCGGATCGTCGATCGCGTCCGCCGTTCGATGACTAATCCGCGAGAACGACACCGCGACTCCTAGCTGTCCTAGCACTCCTAGCACCCGCGCAGCGGGTGACTCCGATTACGATCGCAGCGAGAATGGACAAAGAAGCGGCGCAACAATTGCGCTCGTCGCGCGGATATAGAGTTACAGGCGGGTGCGAGCGGAGAAAATGAGCGGCGCATATTAAGCCGGTCACGGCAAAATGGCCGACGTGGACGGAGGGATAAAAAAAAAGAAAATGGGGACGCATTCGTCTCTCTCTCTCTCTCTCGCGCCAACACACGGCGAGCGTAACGAAACACTCGACGCTTCCATACATAAATACACGCACACGCACGTCGCGCCGCCGCCGGTCGCGTCGACGTGACGCGGAACGCGAGACACGGGTCGAAATTCCGCCGCGCCGGCGACGCATGCGTGACGCACGCCGATCGAAAGCCCCGCCCGGCGACAGTCTTTGTTTAATCCATGTGATATCTACGCCCACGATAGCAGTGGCGTACTTGGAGATCCTACTCTATAAATCTCGCGAGAGAGTGCCTATTAAAACATTGTTTAAAGTGATATATGTATGTATAGTTAACTCTATAGAGAATATTTTCAGAGTAACACTATTTCAAATTGTGTTGTAAATTCTTTGGCAAAGATATGACTTGTTCGTTGATGGAATCGTTTGATAAAATCGTTCGTCGTTTCTCAATAATTAGAAATTATTTACAAATCAATTCCAAAATTACTTCTTACGTTACATAGATTATACAATCAAAGCAGACATTCCGTGATCTTTAAAAATATTCAAGTAAAATGAATGTAATTTTGCAAAATGAGTAATTCAACTAGAGAAGCAAAACAATAAACCTCTCTAATCAATGATTTCATTTTATATAAAAGCGATTTTTTGTTTAAAACAAAGATTATAAATTTATTTCATTATTTCTTCAATCCTAATGTTGAACAGAGTTATAACATCACAGGAGATTATAATAACTTAATTCATTTGTCAACTATAAGTGAACTTTAAGTGACAAATAAGGTCGTGATGATATTCTTATGATATATTATTATAATTTCTTCTCTCTCTCTTCTCTCTACTTGAGAAATATAATATAAAAAATAATGAACACACATACGAGTTTATGTCTCAACCATACATTCGCGTTATAGATATCGAAGTACATATGCATTTATTCCACGTACACTGCAATAAGCCTAAGTTTCTATATCAATATATTAATGATCTCGTATGTCCCTAGGAAAATACAACTGCAAGAAAGTGTTCATGCAACTGGTAGCGTGGCCGAGCGGTCTAAGGCGCTGGTTTAAGGCACCAGTCTCTTCGGAGGCGTGGGTTCGAATCCCACCGCTGCCAATCTTTTTGCGTATTTATTTCGAAAATTTATTTTTTTACACGTGGGAAGAAACATTGTCTTTATTATTATGACGTAAAGTTAAAACAAAAATAAAATTATAAGTTATAATTTTACGATTATATATCGTCGATAAATAATATCGCGCTATTTATCGGCGTTTAACCGCATCGATAAAACAGAACTAACGCTTGCAAATCAATTTAAATAGAGTGCGTTTCACTTAACGTTTGTAACGCTCCCCTGCATCATTTCATCCTTATTTAACATTTGATAACAAAATGATGCTCACATTACGAATTTCAAGTGGGAGCGCACCCATAGTAAACATATAGATTATATGATATCTTGTTTTTTTCTACGCAATTAAAAAATTGTATCGGTGCTATGTTGATAGACAGGAAGATAAGATACGCACGTAGCGATTTGAATTTAAGATAGATGTTCCGCGGAAGTTCCGCTGATTATTTAGTTCTCAAATGTGTGATAGTGCGATTACGCATTGTCGTGACACACACTCGTACTTCGAAAACAGATAAATATTGTCACGCTACCGTACACATTACACCGAGGTAGAATGAATAATAAAAATGAGGCATCGCGGGTACAAGTCCATAGTTCAACAGCAATCGGCTTTGACTCCAAAGCTCATTTCTCTTTCCTCGTAAAAAGGCAGTTAAGAGAAAACCAAGATGAAATAAAGGCGCGGAAATAATTTGGAATTAAAAATGACGAAGATTTTAGAAGTTTCTAAGATTTTTTGAAATTGTTTGTGTGTATATCACATAGTACGAGACTTTTAATCTGAATCATCATTATACCTTCCGATTTGTAATAAAACAAACATCTTCGTAAAATTATTGATTCGATCATACTTTTCTCCATGTACAAACGGAAAATATTTTGAGAAATATAAGAGAAAATATTGTGAGATAATTTTAAGAAAAGAACCTAAAAAAACAACAATAGAAAATGAGAAATATTGTATGCTTTATTTTTTTGTTATTAAAGTTAAATTTTTAATATGTCATAGAAGAGTCTCACTTTCCTCGCTCCGGTCTCATCGTTATAGAAAAAAAAACTCTTTAAATAAAGATAATCTGTTATAATTTAATAATTTTTCTTCGTTTTTTTATTCTTCGCTCGACCGAAATTGAGCTACAAAATATCATGAACTCGACGCCAGAGAGAGAATCAATTTTGTGCGAAGAAAAACCGAGTTTAAAAATCTCGGAACTTTGTCACCAGACAGATAAAATGGCTTTCGAATATGCCTTTCCATCGAAGAGATCCGATAAAGAGATACTTATTGTCGCCTTGTGGCCTCTGAGCTCGTAACGCACAAAAAGTCTAATCAGTGATATCCTCTCCACAGTCTTCTTCACATCGTGAAACGACCTTATCGGATGTCTCGTTGACCAGCTTCGCGAGGCTCCAGATACCTATATCTATCATTGCATCACTCGACGAGAAACGTGATGCGTACAAAAGTCAATCATGATCCGAAAGCTGTTAATACAGAGACAGTACGCTATCAGTAATTAGTATCGTGTCTTTCAAGTGTGATCGTTAGTTTATCGTCAGCATATTATATCAGAGATATTGGCCGCATAAATAGAAATCAGTGCTTAATAAACGCTTTGCAATTGGATTATACTTTTAAATCTTGCTTGAGGAAAAGTCTTATCTCAGCAAAGAATTTCCAACAGTTGCAAAATAAACATTCTGCTGAACACGGCCTTGTCTTACAATTACAAGTGCTGGTAAAACCGAAAGCGATTGTATCTTAGAATCGAGAATCGTACATCGTTCGACGATCGCAATTCCGTATCAAAAGATTCTGATAATCGTACTCTAGTTCGTGCGCGTCTGTGAAAGCATGTTCGTCCTCTGCTAGATAGAATAGAATACAATTGACGACTCTTCGCCGAGTGTGGCTGGGAACGTGATCTCACACTCTGTTTAACCCGCGTGACAACGCGCACGTGTCTGCTGCCTGCGATTTCTGCGTGGCCGGTTGTTTGTATGAAGAAAGGATTTCGAGTGGCGTGAGGAGCAAGCAATTGTCGTCGCTGTAGATCCTCCGAGATTATGTCCATGGTCGGGAATGGTAAGATTGTGCGTGTCTCAACGCGCGAAACGATCGAGTTACATATCCTGGCCTTTACCTACGGTCTATGCCTGATAGTCCGACGGTTCCTCAAATGGATATGGGATCCCAACAAGTTCTTCATGTTGCGTCAGCGAGATCAGCCTCCGCCGTGTCTGGTCGACAACAGCCTCGGCACGCATTCCTACGTAAAAATCAAAGTGAGTAATGCATTACAGTGATCTGCCCTGGATGGCACGATCAACATGCAAAGGACTCGTTCAGATTCCCAAGTGCTTCTCAGGTATTATTCTTATTTAATATTCGGTGAACAAAAATAAAATGATACTTGGGTAGCACTCGAATGGAAATCTGAACATTGTCAAGATATACAGGAGAGGTACATCTTCCGTATCCTTTGATAACGCTGCCAGTGATAACTGATAACACGATGGGTTTGAAAGAATTCGTTCTTTTACTTCTTTACGACTCCAAGATCATTCCCGGAAGCACAAGTACTTAGTAAAAATATCAGAAAATTATGACATAATTTTCTAAAATTGTGAAGATAAATAGATTCTTCATGTATAAGAGATTTTTTAATATTCTATTTATAAATAGAATTCTATTTGATAAATTATAAATAATGTAACTATTACATAATTATTTAATCGTACGATTATCTTGCAGTTTTATCATATTACGTTCTTGCGCTGAGCTATACATCTCGTTTTAGACTGTCTCTATTGTCGCCAGAACCGAAGTGTTTGTATATCATATTGTTGCGCTGTCTAAAGGACGAGGATTACCAGCGGTATTCAATTTTCATAATGTTATCGATGCAAATGTATTTAAATTTCGTTGACATGGACTCATCTTGCAACATCGAGTACAGGCGACACTCGAGTAAAGACTAAACACATTGCACATATTGATAAACAAATATTTTTATGTCGATATATGCGGCTTCTTATCTCTATTTTTCGATTTAATTAATTTTTAATTCAGATAACAAGTATCAAGACAGATTTGGAAATGTGTTATAAACGTAATAAATTCTTAATTATAGGAGGATTCTTAATTATACTTCAGTTTCTAATGTTACCTGATGTTTACTATAGTACATCTTAAAATCATAATATATAATGTAATATCACAAGTAGAACATGCTATGAAGGAATAGACACTTTAAGGCTCAGTTTCACAATTCATGGTTAACTTTTAACCGAGGTTCAACTTATTTCTCATCTCTTTCCAATTCTAGTATTAGAAAGAGATGAGGAATAAGTTAAACCTCAGTTAAGAGTTAATCATAAGTTGTGAAACTGGGCCTAAGAGTATTTTCTTTAACTTGAAAATAAAGGTCTAAACCGGTCTTTTATATGACATTTCTTTCTTAAGTTCTTTTTAGACTCTAAATTCATTAGTCTAATTCCTACTGAAATCCTCAATCCGGTTTTATCTTGGCACAGATCAAATTTAATATCCCGTCTCTATTGGAAGTATGGAAATATATAGAGATCTTGTGGATCGAAGCAATAGTAAAATGAGTACAATCAAACGTATTTCTAGCATTTAAAATTTTTTAGTTCTATACCGTATTAAGTGCTTTGGTGAAAAATCAACCATTATCTGAAATACTGATACATAATTTTTGAAAATCACCCTATTTGTACACAAAATATATAATAAATTATGTAATAATATATGAATGTTATATAATAATATTTTTAACAAACTTCTACATCAAATTTCTGCAAAAAAACCCAAAGCATATTATAACAGAAAACTTTGTTTAAAAACATAATGAATTGTGAATTTATTGTAAAGAGAATTATAATAATTATGATAATCTCTCTAGTGAATTGCTAAAATACTTTTAGGCAAATTCTTTCGCTAGCCATTGTGTACTTTGAACTTTACAGAGAATTATCGTCTGCTGTGATGAATGTAATCTAATTAAGCAGTACTGCGAAATTGCTAATTACAAGTTAGTTGTCCGCCTTTTTTTATCGAGAGATTTGAAAAATTACAATTTATCAAATTGTTTAGTCTGGAAAGCAGATGGAGGATTCTTTCTGTCGTTGCATTTCTCGATACGCCTGTTATGTCGTTATGCTATCATAATTGCGGTATATCTTTATTGTATTCATACAATCGCCAAACGAAATCTCATAAAGGGGAACTCTTACATTTACAATCTCGCTTTCTATTTTAAACTTAAAGAACTATACGTTCGTGCGAACGAATTAATAATTTGAATTTTTTTTCTTCCGTTTAACTTATTTGCTTTTCTTTACGCAGGGTGTTAAATTCCATTATGTGGAAGCGGGGGACAAGAGTAAACCACTCGTGTTATTATTACATGGATTCCCGGACTGCTGGTTATCTTGGAGAAAACAGATCCCATGTCTCGCAGAACACTATAGGTGCGTTTGAAAATTTATGTTTATAAAATAAAATATTTTACAGCACACGCGTTGGCGTTGTGACGCTCACATTTTAATGCTGTTTCAGAGTAGTAGCTATAGATTTAAAAGGATTCGGTGATAGCGATAAACCGTTCAACAAACGATCTTACAAACTCGAAATTTTAATAAATGAATTGAAACAATTCATTTTGACTCTCGGTGTGAAGACGTGCAGCATAATCGGCCACGACCTAGGAGGACTTCTGGGATGGTACATGGTCGCTCTACACACAGATCTCGTTTATAAATTTATAGTCATTTCGAGTCCGCATCCCAATTTTTATTGGAATAGAGTATCAAGAAATTCTATTTTAGATAAAAAGTAAGTATTTTCGAAATTCCGTTTATGAAAGTTCCTAAAGACTTTACATGAAATTTTATATATTTATGTATTTTAACTGCAAACGCACAATGTGACGTTCTAGATGGCTACATTTCAGCAGATTACCATTTTTGCCAGAAATAGATGCGCTTAAAGAAGACTTATCTATTATCAATGAAGTATTTCGACATCTTCAAATATCTCAAGATGACAAAGAAAAAAGTTATGTCGAGGCGTATAAATATGCCTTCAGTAGGAAAGGTAAATTAATATTAAGTCTTATATGTAAAATAATTTTTGTATCATATGTTGTTCTTCTCTTAAGTTTTTCATATTCAAAAAATTAATACAACATTTTGTAGAGGATTGGACAGGACCGATTAATTATTATCGCAACCTACCATTCACAAGACTGAATACAGATAGCGGCGAACAGATAGATAACAAAACGCTACTTCTAGTCGGAAATATGGATCCTTTTGTAACAATAGAGAGCATTATTCAAAGTGCCGAATACGTAGAAGTATCTAGGGTTAAAGTCATACCACAGACGCAACATTTTCCGCATCAAGAAAAATCGGATGCCGTAAATAAGGCAATTATTAAATTTCTAAAAGGTGAGTTTTTTCACCCGTATAAAATTTCCTTACAAAAATAATATTATTTAATAATAATGTCGATATACTGTATACTTTGCGTATATAAAATGTTTTAGGCACTACATATAATTTGGCGCTTTCAAAAACGCCCGTAAAGAGTCTCATGTCTTCCTGGCTAGGATCTTTGAGTAACACCGTTAAATATGGTAATCAAATGATTGACGTTGTACACAAACGAACTAATGACATTGTAAATGTGTTACCAAATAAAGCACTTTATTTGGGACAAACAAGTTAAATGGTGTTACATCAGCGGTACATTATTTAGAACTTTGTACTTCATTACGACAAATCTATATATCCTACCTACGCTAACGCTGACTACGAAACTCATAAAAGGCTGATTTTGTTTTATTTATTACTTATTTCTTATGTAAGTATAGCATTATAAATAATTGTGAATGATGAAATCTTATTGTATAAAGATATCTATCACATTCACTTTTACGATATACCATATCTCGAATTTTTTTAAATATTTTATATATACATGTTCTTGCGGTAAGGTCTAGTAATATCTAAAGAACTAAATTTTTATAATTATATAAGTAACTATTATCTCGAAATAAGAACATTAATGGAGAGCAATTTAAAATCTGCGTAATCTAATATTATTTTTTAATATCTTCAATAAAAACCAACGTAATCTTCAATTGAATAATATTAATATGGATTATATAATTGATATTAATATTTTATTATAACATTACATAATTAATATTATAATTACATAGGTAATATAACTATAAATATAATTATAATAATTATGTACAAAAACATTTCTGTATCAAAATTGTAATATAAGAATTATTTAATGTAAGAATTTTACTAGATATTAATTGTACATTATTGTTTTAATTAATTGTATAAACATAAAATTTTGTTGCATATTTGAATCTCAGAGCGCATAATGGCAATAGATATTGCCTTTATAATAATTTAACACTAAGAAGCAATATTGATCATTTGTAAAGTCATAAGTTATCATAAAATGCAATATACATTATATATATAATTGTTATATAAAATTTGTGATACAAAACATTGGTACTATATGTCATGTATATACACACACACATATATATATATATATATATATATGTATATCTCTTGTGTCATGATGCTTCGCTTGTCTTAGCGCCGAGACACTACCGTGTCTCCAGATATGATAAACAGTACAAATTATGTGTGAAAATTCTCTTCCTTTTCAGACATGATTATGATAGTTCATTAAAAAAAATATAATTATACCAATCTTTTGTACAAACTCGATACTTGATAAAAACATCAACGCATAGAATAGCTTAAATGGTTGAAAACATGCCGTGATAAATATTTTTGATATTTAATTATGGAAAATTATTGTACAAGTCAGTGCGTATGTCGCATATCAGTTACCAAGTCAATGTTATTCTTTGGATCTTCCTCTGAAAGGTATAAGATTTGTTACATATTAACAAAATTGTAAAATTAATAAAAATATTTTATAGTATTTATAGTTCCATACTTTCCAAAATTTTCGGCGTCTTCTATTGTCTCTGGTAATTCGCAATTCATCGTTTCTGGTAAAAATAAACAGAGTGTAGCGCCTAATATCGGCGCTATGCCAAATATTACTGGAGGCAGCCAAGGTTCAATAGCACCCTATAAATGATTACGTCTCTTTAGTCTTAAAATAACTTACTATTTGTACGTATATAAATAAATATATATAAAATAAGATATACTCTTAATCATAATATAAAACTATTTCATTGTAGAAACATCAATTAATGTATATATATAATACACATCATAAATTACCATTGTGGCAATGAACGGTGCAATTATACTTCCGATTCTGGCAGACGTACTTCCCAAACCAACGCCAACATTTCTTACGACAGTCGGAAATACTTCACAACTGTACAGGTATACTGTAGGAAAACTAATAGCCATACCCACGAGCCCTAGTGAAGCTAAAAATATCCGGATGTTTCCGTTGGTTATACAAGTTATCAGAAGCAAACTCACACCGGATAAGATGTTTCCGCCCATCAAAATTTTTAAACGCGAAACTCGCGATATCAGAAACAGTACTATTATGGTTCCAGGTATTTCCATGGCGGCTGTAAGTCACAAAAAATGTTACAACGCATAGTGACAGAATTTAGTATAAGATTTATTATTAATTTTACCAGAAACTGCGACGTTGATGAATATATTGCCGTCAAGATGACCCATGTATTGCGCCAATCCGAAGAAACAGATACCACAGACGAACCAGTTGACACTCACATATGTAGTTTTCAATCTCATATTCGGGGTTCTAAATAAATGCGTGATATTGTATTTCTCATTGTTCTTCGCGTGTCGGATTGTCATCTGATTCTCGTAAGTTTCAAGCGCTAACTTTACATTTTCCACTGGTATCTTGTTTCTTCCGGCAGCTTTCAGCAAGATTCGTTCTGCCTGTCTGTATTTTCCTATAGCTAGTAACCATCTCGGTGATTCCGGAACAATCCTATTTTGCAAAACATCGATTCTTAATAATTGATTTCTTGATACATATATTTCGCAAATCTCTCTCTCTCCCTCTCTCTCTCTCTTAAAAATATCATTATTGTCGAAACGGTGAACTAAGACAGAAATCTGCCGATTATACAATTTACAAAAAAAGGCAGTTATAAATTATACCATATACACGAGAATCGCTTTATACATATGAATGATATTGAACATGCAGTCGCACCATCGAAGACTAATAGCGTTCCGCGTTTTCGGCCCGATCGGGTTTGCACCAACCTTGGTTGGATTAATCTTTCCTATTGGTTGACGTCACCCGCTCTACCAATAGGAGAGCACAAAACGCCATTAATCCAACCCAGGTTGGTTCAAACCTGGCCGGGCCGAAAACGCTATAAGCATCAACGTCATTATACGAATACATTGGGTCTATAGAAATTTTATGTACTATTGATAGGGTGGACATTGGGACACAGTGTTAAACGTTTGCGTATGTAATACTAATTTATTTGGTGACACTGAAGATGGCCCGATGTGAATAGGTCGAAACATATGTCTTATCATTTTTAATGATAAATGTCAACTTTATTATTTTTATGTTAATGTTGTAAATACACACTAAACATCAACAATCGGTTTGGCTCCGTAGCCTTGTTATTATATATTGTTAAAAATATTTCTTATTTTGCTTTTATAACAGCGTACGTAATTTATGTACATACCAGTAATACGATAATAAGAAAATTGACGGTATTGACACGGCCATTTGAAATCCATACCATGTAAGTGTCAAATAAGATATCAGGGGATTCATTACATGTCCGATTAAAAATGGTACGTGATAAAGAACCGACATAATCGATCGCCATTCGACTCCAATAATTTCCATAACTGCAACCGGTTGATTGATAAATTTTGTAAATTAGACTTTCTAAATTAATAACTTCATTGCGCTTGCAACTTACGTAAAACGAAGCTGACGAGCATTGTTCCGCCAGTAGATACGGCACAAAGAAATTTGAGTATTAGGAACAATTCGTACCACGGTGCAAATGCACTTGCAAATCCTGTCACCGATTGCAGTGCAATTGCGATCATTAACGGTTTCTTTCGGCCAATTCTACGAATAAATTTCATTAATATTAATAAAATGAAAAAACGTATATACATATATTTTATATTACTCTATGAAATAATAATCATTTATGTCATCGCATATTTTGCAACGACTTCAAATTAACGTACCTATCAGCCATCATACTGAAAATTAAATTACCAACGAGCACACCAAACATTGTGCAAGATTGTGCTAAATTAGCCAATTGTTCCCTATCACATACTAAATCCCACTAAAAAATGAATATTGACATAATTATTCACATGTATCTCTTTTTATTATTTTAAATTGGAATACTTAATTATCAATTAATTAACTGATAATACATATATGAAAAAATATATAAGGTCATATATTGAATTAAATTATACTAATTTACCTGCGTTATGATACTCTCTCGGAATATTCGTTTATCGTAGCTGAATTCAGTGCACTCTTCTATTGTGCCATTCCCAACATCAACTTCACATTTCATTATCGTGGAGTCGTTAGTTGCTGACAAAGGAGCGATACATGAGAAATTAGTAGGCGGTGCAAGGAACACGATAGAGAGCTGGTGCCAAGCTACTGGAAATTTAACGAGAGAAATCACCACGGCGATCACGATGTGCCATGGACCCATGGAGCCCATGGCCTCTTGGACAGGATCCAACGGTACGTGACCTGAGAACATAATAATAATAATACTCTTGAAACAAAAAAGTGTATTTAAAATTAAGAAGTCTTTAATTATATATATAAATTTTTTTAATTCTAGCAGCTGGACTGGACATAACGCTCCGTAATTATTTTTTTGCATAGTTCTCCAAGCATTCGAATCAGAGAGTATACGATTATAATTAACATACTCTATATTTTCGGAATCTCTGTAAATGTCTCTAAATAGTGCTGCTAGTTAAATTAAATTAAGGATGAAACATCGAATCTGCGATAATTTGTGAGAAATAATTTGAATCGCAAAGAATTAAAAATTATGAAGGATTATATAAAATTAATCTATGCAATGATTCTGTAAAATTACTCAATACAATTTGCCAATCTTTTGTTTATTCTTCGGTTAAAGAAGCAAGCTAAGCGAAGTATGATATTAATAATGTTTTGATGGGATATTAGCTTCTATCGATCGCTCTATATTGAATTCTAATCTAAACACACCGCAAGCTCCACAAACCAAATCTAATAATAAGATGTAACATTTCCGCACAATTTATGATAATAATAATTAGCACTATTTAATTATCGCATTTAGAAGATTTAACTATTGCAAAATAATGCAAAATGCGATTAAATAATCATTGTCAGCTTCGATACTCTTTCCTAAATTCCACAAGAGATTGTTATCAAACTTGAAAGATTATACAATTAAAAAATTATAGAAATGATGGAACGGAAAATCTAGACTCGTGACAAAATAATGTATTTTTAAACGTTCTTTCACGTAATTCTCGAGAATAAAATTTACATTCTTGTTTTAAACCTACGGATTATTGGTTATATAATTAAATGATAATTCTACTTGAATCTGCTGGGCTTTTTCGAATCACACTGAAACTTTTTCACGTTTTTCATCCCGCTTACGTGATGTCGCAGATATCGTCTCGTGTAACGGATCCGATGAGATCCGTTACAGCAAACCCATAAAATTCTTCGAACCGGTATTACCTAACAGGATATACACATATAATTAATGTG